ACTGTGTACTTGGAAAACACTGGAGGAGAAGGCTATTGGATATTAAATGGTGTTCTTTGAGAAATAGTTGGTGGTCATACAGTTAAAGATTATATCATAATGCATGTGCACAAAGGACAGGAATAGGGTTGAATGGGCAAGGGCAGCTTTGGTATATCTTGACTACTTAATGCTTACATGTGCAATTTTAACTGTCTGTTATCACAAGCTTTTGTTTGTTTCATGAACTTTCATAAACGTATTTTTAAAAAAAGAAAAAGAAATTTCTAGCCTGTGAATCTTTGCTTAGAGCTTGCCAGAGGCCCTGTCCCAAGCAAGGTGCACACTGACTACCTGCGTTGTTACATAATTATGCTGGAAGGCTTTTCTGGCAACTCAGAAGCAAATCTCTTGCAGCAAATCCCTGTAGTACTTTACTGTCCTGCTGTATTTCACCCACAGTAACGGAAAGCTTTGAGCAACTGTCTCCCTGCTTTTGGAGAGAGAGCGGATTTCTCTGCTTCCCTGCTCTCTACAGCAGCTGCCCACTGAGCATTTCTCTGACTCCCTTTCAGATTCTCTTCCTCATACTGCTTGCATAGTCAGGGCTAGGATTTTTATTGCAAACAGAAAGGCCTCCTTGCCTAATTTAATTCCTGCTCCTTTGTCACAGGCAGATGTCACTTTTACATCTGTGCGTCTGTTCAAACGCCCTGTCTCCTCCAACCCAGCAGATGTTACCACTGTTAACAGAACTCCTGAAAAAAGTCATGTGTACATCCCCCTGCTGGAAGAAGCCTGCTGTATGCCAGAGGCAAGCTTTACTCTGCTGCTTTCCACTAGGAAATTACCCCTGCAAAAAGCCAACCACAACAGGCTATCCCCATAAGGCACACAGCATGCTGGAGCATCCAGGGAGAACTCTCCCATACACATGCACATGACAACCCATGGAAACATGACAACAATCATGCGCACACAAAGAAAAGAACACTCACAGGCACGTAAATGCAGCACAGAGACATACAACCAATACACTGGTCCTGTGCATTTGTGTCTCAGGGCACAGATACCACTCAGACATAACACACAAATGCAAGCAATGCAAGCATTAACTCACGCCCCCACCCTGTGTGCACACAAGCCTCAAAGACAACAATAACTCTACCCAAAAATAATCGCCTGAAAAGGTAAAGGCATCAAAAAGGTAGTCCCTTTTCCAAGGTTTGAAGACTAACATGGTACAGAAGCTAAATGCAAAAAACTCCTTGCTTCCACTTAGGGATGGTTGGCTGATGACTCTTGCTTGGGTACGCTACATAAATAAGGCTGCACTAGTGCCAGGCTTCCAGGGGAATGCACCATGCTCTTGGGATCTACTGGGAAGTAGCTAAATCAAGATGGATCCCCCATGTGATCCCCCTTGCTGTCCCTCAGTACTTTCTTCACATGTACAAAAATCAGAGGGGAAAAGAAACTCCATTCAAACTGATCAGGCGCTTTGCCTATTCTGTAAGTGGGAGAGAGAGAAAGAGAGAGAGAGAGAGAGAGAGAGAGAGAGATGCTGCCTGTAGCAGACACAAGTTAAGAACACTTGGGCATCCAGGAAGTTGACTGCTGGAAGAGGTGGGTGACATCTGGGGGCAGAGAAAACCAACCTAAGATTTCCTTGTATTAATACCCACCAATCCCATTGCTCTTGCTTGCTTTATATGCCAGGGAGTAGCTCTAAGAAGTCACACATCTTCTGAGCTGGGCTCCCCAGGCAGGTAAAAGGACAGGAACAAATGAGACAGGAAGTGTTTTCCTCTTGTCACCAAATGTCAGGTCCGAGTCCACGCCTTAGCTCTGCCGTTGTCTTCCCCCAAATAAAGCAATCAAAGAGCAATCCTCCCTGGTATTTAATATTTTATTCATCCCCGTGTTATTGTGTTTAGCCTGCAGTAAAACAGCTTCAGAGAAGTGAGACATTAGGGGCCTGACAAGCGTTTTGCCATGAATTGCTGCTTCAAGACAAAGGCATTTTGTTGGCGGTTTTGTTGGCCTGTCCTCGAACATTCTTGCTGACTTTCAGGGCTGGGCCAGAGGGGGGAAGATTCTCCTCCATGAATAGTGAAGAATAGGCCGGAGAAGTTTCTGTGGCGCTGGCAGCCTGGTTTCACTCAGATCCTTGAGAGCCCCTGAGCATCCCGCCGCCCCCTGCTTGCCTGCCTGCGGGGCAAATCGGGCCTTACCTTGGTCCCTTCCCTGAGGGAAATCTTCACACATGCCCCTGTCCGGCTCAGTCAATAGCCCTGCCCCAGCACAGCTTGGAGGGGTTTGAGTTTGGGGAGGAAACAAAAGGGCTCTTTTTTGTTGTTGTTTTGTTTTTTGGCAAAGGCAACCAGGCTCTAATTGTATTTGTGCCGCTTGGAAATCAGGAGGGGTTTTTCCACACTTCATTTTGATTCGATTATTTCTTATAGATGGTTTCTCCCCCCTCCCCTTGCCCCCCCGGCCCAGGCCAGACGCGTGGGGGAAGGCTGCTGAAGCAGTTGGCCTATAGTGGGAATAATCAAATTAACCATTTGCTACAACTTTTCGGGGAGAGCGGCTCGCGTGGAGAAAGACAAACTCGACACAAAACCCGGGGGCCGGGACCCACCCTCCTCCCGGAGCAGCGCAGCCAGCGCCGGCCACAAAGGCTTTGAGGCTGAAAGGAGCGGCCGAGCGAGGCAGGGAGATAATCGAGTCAAGTGCATTTGCTCACTGGACCGTGGATCGGCCGCGGGGTCCCCGCCTGCCCCGGC